AATCGAACCCTGGTCTCCAGAGTCATAGTCCAATGCTCAAACCACTACAAGGTTTATTACTCTTCAGTTCTGAAAGAGAGGCCATTTTTTATCAGTTTTAATGCAGGTTAGTTAGGTATAGGAAAAATAAAGAGCTCAATGTTTAAATAAGTGTGCAATTGTATAAATGTCTAGTTTTTCTTGCTTTTTCTTCCTTTCCAACTTTTGCATTCAGTTCTAGGTCACTGACTGCAATAAACAATGTTGTTTTTATTGTCTTCAACTTTTTTCAGGGCTGTAGTAAGGATAAAAGGGGAGAAAGAGATTGCAGAACAAAGAGAAGTTCTTAATCACTTATTTGGAAGAACTGCAACAAATGTAATAAAGTTGGGCTACATAGCATGCTGCTCATTGTCTCTGACTGTAGCTCTAACTTTTTGGTTATCAATCTATCTTTTTGATCAAATCTGACAACAGCAGCAGTCTTGATAGTAGCTGTCAAGTGGAAATTGCCAGTCTATGTGTGGGTTTCCTCAGCTGTGGGGCTTTGGGCTTGGAAATGCTACAGCACTAGAGAAACTATTACATTTCTTCATTTTTGTGGAAATGATCCCTGTCAGAATCCAAATGATGCCACTCAATTTTTCCAAGTTATCTTTTCCAACTTACATTTATCAGTAAATAGTCCACACATTGAACCTGACTCAGAAAAGTGCTAACCACCAACATTCTTCATTCTCCTTCCTTCTTCTCAACTCCCAGTTTCAGCTCTGTACTAGGGATGGCCCAGACTGACATTTCTCAATTTCATCCACATTTTAATATTTTAAACCCCATGTCTTTTAAAATCCGAATTATTTATGCACATCTGTAAAGAATTTGGCATGTTTGTACACAGTATGTGATGTAGGAATTTGGGTAAATTCCTCAAAATGAAATGAAATTGTACTGCATGAGTAGCTGAACTTGTACTGGCCTAATTCTAGCAAAGAGAATACTGTATTGCAACTATTTGCCATATGAGGGTTACATACATGAAAACTCAAGTTCAGCATTCAGCTTAATATATGGATTTGAACCCTTAATTTTAAGAGTTAAGTACTCAAAATAGTGGGCCAGATTCAATGAATCTGTAAGTTCTGATTTCACTCCACATTTTGTTTTTCAAAATCCCATGTTGTTTCCAGTTAAGATGTCAGATCTGGCTACAATGATAGATGCCTTAATTATATCCTATTTGGATAACTGTAATGCACTCTACATGGAGCTGGAAATTGAACAAAGACTTCAGCAGGTCCAAAATGCTGCAGCCAGAATGCTGCTAACTCAGGAAGGTTACAGGCAGCATGTAACTCTCTTGGTGAAACAATTCCCCTGGCTACCAATCCATTTTTGGGCAGAATTAAAAGTGCTGGTTATGACCTTTAAAGACCTACATGGCTTGGCTCTAAACTATTTGAAAAACTTTTTATCTCCCTATATGAGCCTGATGTCACCTAAATTTCAGAAGGTCCCAAGTGATCACCCACTAATTGAATTCAATGAGGAAACTAGTTTATATAGGAAGCAGCAAGAAGGCTTCAGTAATGTAAAGCCAGGATCAAGGCATGTGTATACTGGTTCTGAACCCAGAGAACTCTAGAGGCAGGTTCTAAATCAATTATTTATTTACTCATTTATGTATTAATTAATTAATTAATTAATTAGAAAAGGGAATCCACACTCATAAGCATATTCTCTCACTCACACATACAAGAACTCAA